ACTTGAAATCAAATATCTTGCATGAATTTTTGTGTGATTTTATTTTACTACATGTATGTACTATTATGAATGTCGGTGCTTGTTGTGGTAATAATAATAATAATAATAATAATAATAATAAAAGAATTTCTAAAATTTTCTTGTGGCACAGGTACGATCGGTACACAAAGAAGTTGCATGAAAAAGTTAACGGTATTCTTAAATTAAGTAGTTTTAAGCTCCTAATTATAACTACACGTACATTTCAGTCTTATTATCTCCAGTGTTATATTTAAAAGATAATGTCCATTACTTACCTCATCAACAAAAATATAAAGAGCCGAGTTTCCCTTTAGAAGCCTCTTTATTAAACGTCCATTCCATATTCGGCGGTCACCATTAAAGTCTAATCTCGTTCGACCGTCTGCTGCGGCTGCGCAGTAAAACCTAGGTCAGGGGATGAATATAGTGATCATGCCGATGACTAACAAAAGAGTAAATAGACTGCAATCATTGAAAATATCATTATTTTTTAATCTTCAAGAGTGCTATTATGATAAGACAATATTACCTCTGGTTTCGAAGATATGGAAATGTTTCCAACAGCTTTCCTGTTACGTCTCTCTCTGTCATCTCTCTGGTAATTTCTACCTTTTTGAATTGCTCCCTTTCTGGCTTTTTTATTTGAGACATCTCTATTAAAATTGGCATGAGTACTTCATTGCCTCTTATTGTAACATCACTTGTTTTTAAGACCACTACACTCCGGTCATTGGAGTTTGCGTGCGTATCAGATGGCTGCATTGCCGCCATAGCTGCAACCTATTTTAAAGAGAAAAGGAACAAGTTAAGCCAACTAAGGAAGCGTTCTAAATAAAGAAAACCTAACCAGTGAGCAGATAAAGTCTTACACACGTATTTTGGTTTGATATAGAAAACAGATAATTTTTTTAATCAGAAGGCACATAGCATAGCATAGATTAATTTTAAGTAGTATCACATGCAAACATTGACCCGTCAACTTGAATTATTTCTTAAGGTGTTTGCAGTCCCCAGCGAAATATTTTACAACAACTTAAAGAGAAAAAGTGTGTTCAATTTCTTACAAGTACGATGGCGTTTAAGTTCTCGAGCAGTCACAGAAAAATATTCAGTCCGACGACCGAGCAAGTTCAGTGGAGTTATCTTTAGCCGCCAAATTTTTCAATGTACAAAAATTTACCTGTGCAATCTATTTACATGAACCGTGCAAATTCTGTAACAGATTGCAGCAGTGTTTGTTCAGCATGTTCAAAAACTTTCACCGTTCTGGTTTTCAATTCTTCGTTCGATCTTGTCCTCCAGAAATAAGGAGGGTTAAACCCAAAAAACTCTTAAATGTGATATTGTTAGTAATTAGCATATTCATTTTCAAATGGTTTAGGGAATTTCCCTTTGAGTCGTATCACGGTTCAATGTTTTTGACAAATTTATCACAACTTTCTTCACAAATTTTGTCAGTAGAGTTTCCTCGAAAAGGTTTACTGATCTGTTTGAAAACATACCGTAGAAAAATCAGTTTATCATAAACATAGTGACGAAATTTGGTAAAGTAGATAGTTATGCATTGAAAATCATATGGATGAATAATTTGTCTTTTTTTTACGAAAAGATGTTCTTAGACATACTAGAAATTGTTGTGAAATAACTGTGGGAAAACAGAATTAATTACTGATAATCATAGTACTGGTACATAATTATGTACTTTATATTTTGGCGATTTTCATAAAAATCAACATAATCAATGTATCCTGCAAATATTATGTTGAGAATGATTTCAACAATTTTTTTAAAAAGTTACCATATACAAATATGTCATGAAGATTTGGGAAGAGGAACAAATATTCAAGTACATTGATCCTAAAAATTTTGCGAAGTGAGTGATAAACGGAAACGAATAATCGGTATTAATGAACTGTATATTAAAAAAAAATTATCATCAAGATGCTGCGACTACTACTCCCTCCCCCCCCCCCTCCGCGTATAAGATGAAAATAACTATCTCTAAAATGACACTATATTATTGACATCAATGGTGGAACAATCTTCTAGAATTAATCGCTGATGACATGAATAAAATTGTCAGAAATCAGGACAGTAGTATACAGGTAATTAATTCCAATCAATTTCTTTCTTTTTTTCTTAATATGATTTATTAACCACATAAATCACAAAATATACAGGAGAAAAAACCATAATAAAATAAAATACGTAACAATAACTAACTTACTACTCAACTACTGTAAAATTTCGAAAATAAGCCCCTCCATGTATAAGCCCCTCCGAATATAGGTCCCCCAATCCGGTAACGCAAAAAACCCTCCGTTAAATCACCCCTCCAAATATAAGCCCCCCGGGGGCTTGTGCTTGGAAAATTGCCCTCAAATACTAAGTAAAACAAAGCAAAAATGGTAAATTTACTTCAAACTATAAGGCTAGCCCAATCGATTTTGAAACGCAGATTTCCTTTCGTAGTTAAGCC